CACATTGGGGTAATCATCTGGGCAGTCAAAGATTTTGGCACTTTAGGGGAGGTGGCTCCTATCCCACGCAAATTTGTTTCTCAGTCAAATTTGAGAAAACCCCTCTCTGTTCCCATTCACACAGCATACCAAAAACTATTTTTATAAAAAATATCGACCTTTTTAGATGTCTGTATAAAAGGCCTTTGCAAGCTTCTGTATGTTTCAATTATAAACCCTATAGAAAAAACTAAGGACAGACTGAGCTTCCCCTCACTAACATACAATGCTTCTTGATCTTTAACCCTTTGTTGGGAAAGACAGTGCTCAAATCTCCTTTAAAATTGATAATGATGTCTGCCAGCACAGTACAGACAGGCTTAATTGATAACATTAATCTCCCCACCCCCTTGCATTCCAGAGCAAAACAAAGTACCAGAACACAACTATTCTTTCAGAATTGAGCATGTTTTGTGCAAGCGGCAGTTAATTTTTTTTTTATTTGACGTTACTTTTTTTTTTTTTTTTTGATTGACGAACATGTAACAAATATAAAATAGGTGATACCTCAATTTGGCTATAAAAGTGGAAATACATTTTAAAGTGCCTATGGCCAAAATATAGTTGCTGCCTAATCCTAACTTATATCGAGAGAATGACTGACTGACTGGATTTTTCCAGTCTATTGTTACTATTTCCCTTAGAGGGGTCAGTCTTTGTCGAGATCGCACAGGACATAAACATGTAATATTTCAAGAGAGATTAAACATTGTTTTTTCTCATCTTAATTTTGAAGTTTGTGGGTATCAACTCTTTCCAACCAATAGAACTTTGATGTAGCCAGACTAGGGAAAGCTGACTTTTCAGTTGGTTATTCTGGGTACAGTACTACTTGTTGAATTATAATCACCGCACGGCTTACTATGCTCCAGCCAGACTGATTTTGTTTTGAGATGTCTTTTGTTCCATCCCATGGTCCCTTTACTGAAAACCTACACAACTGCTGCAGTTTTTGTTGGTGTATAAATGTTGTGTATTTGGGAAATTGTTTTCCTTGTTAGTGTGGCGTGCTCACCTAACCTTTTCAACTGTAACCTGAATGTGCTGTGCCTCCCTCCTTAATCACTAGGGGCCTGAAGCCGGTCCCAGATGAGGAGGTGATGGAGCTCTACCAGGGAACACACCACATCCCACTTCACCAGGTCAGCGGGTTCTACGGCAAGGTAAGCCTCTTTGTGCTGTGTGCTTTTCTGAGATGGGCATAATCAGTTTGACAGGGGACTGGCATGACCACCTATCCACCAGACCCTTTGACCAAGCTGCAAATTATTTCATTCCTTTCTTAGAAAAAAACATGGCCACCAAAACATAGGGTGCCAATTATTTTCCTTCCTTGGGACCTTGAGGCTGAGATATAAATACAATGTCTTAGGGCATTGTTTTGTTAATATAATCTGACACTTTGCCCATTTGGAGCATAACAGAATCTCGTATAGGAACCACCCCTTACCACCACCTCACCCGCTGATACCTTCATTACACTCTCCCAAAGCCTACCAGTTATGGAGGAGCATGTGATCTCCTCCTCCTCCGTGACGGCAGTATTCAGGCCTGAGCGACTAACCCTCAAGCCCTGCCAGGGAAGTTAGTCCTGTATATGTTTTCGACACAAGGGTTACACAGGGTTAGGACACAACACT